AGTAGTAACAGTAATAGTGAAGGTTTGGTCTGTGTGTGCACCGGCGCCAGCAAGTGCAGCCATGTAGCTCTAGCACACTTTGAAGTAAGAGATAGACAAGTTGTTTCATAGCCTGAAGAGGGGCGAAGGGCTCTCTCATTTCCGATTACGAGGTAGAGGTGAGCTATCTCATTTCTTAGAAACATAGAGGAGATCTCATTTCCACGACAGAGACATCTTTCACTCAGGAGAGAACGCAAGCTGTTTCATTTCCAAGAAAATAGAGGAGCTCTATCATGTCGTTAGAAGTGAGAAGCTCTGCACTAAAAGATAGAAGGCATCGATTCGTTTCCCTTTTTCTTTTGCTTATCAAAGGGTCTTTTCAGTTCGAACACAGGATTTCTTTCATGCCCTATAAGAAGGATCGAGGAGCTCTTTCATCTGAGAGATAGAAGAACGCATTCATGAAGTATACACGAGCTCATTTCTCGTCAAGAGGCAGAGGCGTGCCCAGCTCTACCATTACCTAACTCTTACCTGAAATTTCTCTATCTCGCAATAGGTCATGAGAGACCTCCTTTTTCACGCTGCAGGAAATGAGAGAGTTCTCTTCTATGTCGATTTTCAGAAATAGCTTCGCAGCTTCTCTATCAATGAAGAGTTTTGAAGGCCACTCTGGGCCATTCTCTGTCCATCAAATGGGGCATGACATAACGCATCACTCGCTATCGTTTACGTGATAGAGTTTCGCTATCTCTGAATAGGTCATCTGAAAGCTCCTCTGTATCTTTGCAGCAAGTGAAGGAGCTCCTTGCCTCTTCTGCAAGAGCCCTCCGCTTCCTATTTTGCAATGAGCAAGCTCTTTTATCTCCTCTGGTTCCTAATAGGTCATGAGCGGGCTTCCCTCTCTCCTTCTCTTTTAGGGGATAGAGGAGGTTTTTTCATGTTGCGTTAACAGCTAGAGGACATCATTTATATCCATTCTGTCATTTCGTATGAGAAGATACAGGAGCTCATTCATCTCCTAGTCAGAGATTGAAGAACTCGTTCACAAGAGATATAGATATAAGAAATCTCTCATACAATGTATAAGAGCTCTCTCATGTCCTACCTAGTTCATTTGCCGTCACCAGCGCTCAGCTCTACCATTTCGTATCTTTTATATGACATAGCTTCTCTATCTCGCAATAGGTCATGAGAGACCTCCTCTTTCTTTTGCAGGAAATGAGAGAGGTCTCTATCTACCTTTTGTGAAAGAGCTCCCTTTGTTCAATCACAAGAACTCATTCATAGAAGCTGTAAGAGCTCTCGAATGTACTTTCTTGTTAATTTCCCGTCGATAGGTAGAGGAGCTCACAGCTCTACCACATCCTACCCTTTACATGGAAGAGGCTCCTCTATCTCGTAGCGGGTCAAGAAAGATTGCCTCTATCTCTTTGCAGAACATTAGAGAGTCCTCTACCTACCTCTTGTGAAAGAGCTCCTTCACCTCAAAATCAAATGCCACAACTCGTCTATCTTTCACTGGGACATGAGACAGCTCCATTGTGAATTTCTATTCAGAAATAGCTGCTTCTCTATCGATGAAGAAATCATGCGAGTAGCCGTTTATCGATGCGTAAGAAATGACATAGCTCTTCTACCTTTTTGCGACAGATCTCTTCTTTACCCGAAATGAAAGTTTGGAAGGCCATTCTCTATCCCTTGAATGGGGACACAACTCATCAGTCTCTATCGTTTACGTGAGAGAGTTTCGCTATCTCTGAACAGGTCATCTGAAAGCTCCTTTGTGTCTGCGCAGCAAGTGAAGGAGCTGCTTGCCTCTTCTGCAATAGCTCCTCCGCTTCCTATTTTGCAATGAGCAACCTCTTCTATCTCCTTTGGTTCCTATTTCTCGTTTGCCATCACTAGGCAGAGGAGCTCTCAGCTCTACCATGACCTATCCTTTACATGAAAGAGGCTTCTCTATCTCGTAACGGTTCATGGAGTCATGACAGATCTTCTCTATCTCTTTGCAAGAAAAGAGAGAGTGCTCTACCTACCTCGTGTGAAAGAGCTCCTCCACCTTGTGATCGAGAGTGACAGAACTCGTCTATCTTTCAATGGTGCATGAGCCAGGTTTTTTGTTTGTATTTGAGAAAAAGCTTGTCTACCCGTGATATAATAAGAAATGAATAGCTCTTCTACCTTTCTGTGACAGATCTCTCCTTTATTCGAAATGAAAGTCTGGAAGGCCATTCTCTATCCCTGAAATGGGGCATGACATAACTTTTCAATCTCTATCGTTTACGTGATCGAGTTTCGCTATCTCTGAATAGGTCATCTGAAAGCTCCTCTGTATCTTTGCAGCAAGTGAAGAAGCTCCTTGCCTCTTCTGCAAGAGCCCTCCGCTTCCTCTTTTGCAATGAGCAAGCTCTTTATCTCCTCTGTTTCCTAACAGGTCATGAGACAGCTCATTTCCACACTGTCATTTCGTATGCGAAGACACAGGAGCTCATTCATTTTCTATTCAGAGATTGAAGAACTCATTCATAAGAAATGTATGAAAGTTCTCTCATGTCCTATCTAACTGATTTCCCGTCACTAGGCAGAGGAGTCCTCAGCTCTACCATTTCTTATCTTTATATGACATAGCTTCTCTATCTCGCAATAATCAGGTCGTGAGAGACCTCCTCTTTCGTTTACAGGAAATGAGAGAGGTCTCTATCTACCCTTTGTGAAAGAGCTCCCTTTGTTCACTGGCAAGAACTCATTCATGAAAGCTATAAGAGTTCCCGTCGATAGGTAAAGGAGCTCACAGCTCTTCTATATCTTACCCTTTACATGAAAGAGGCTCTCTATCTCGTAGCGGGTCATGAAAGATCGTCTCTATCTCTTTGCCGGACATGAGAGAGTCCTCTACCTACCTCTTGTGAAAGAGCTCCCCCACCTCGTAACGTACAAAGACAGAACTCGTCTATCTTTCAATGGGACATGATCCGTCTCTTTGGTTTTGGTTGAGAAAAGCTTCTCTATCCATGAAGCAAACATGAGAGAAGCCGATTGTCTCTAGGCTGCTTATCGCTTCGTAGGAAATGACATAGCTCTTTTACCTTTTTGCGAGAGATCAACCATAATTGAAGGTTTCGAAGGCCTATCCCTGAAATGGAGCGTCGCATAACTCATCAGTCTCTCTCGCTTACGTGAGACAGCATTTATTCTATTTCGTAACAGGTCATCTAAACGCTCTTCTATGCGTTTGTAGAAGTAAAAGAGCTCCTTGCCTCTTGTGCAAAAGCTCCTCCGCATCCTAAAGAGCAATGAGCAAGCTCTTCTATCTCCTCTCTCTTGAATAGGTCATGAGAGGGCTCCCCTCCCTCTGGTTGAGGGAATGACAGAGCTCCTCCGCCCCTTACGAAAGAGCCTTTCTCCTGCTTGAAAAGCTGCGGGCGGGTGCTCTGGCGCCTCGTAGGTTTGGGAGGGCTCCTTTTCACATCTTTATCTTTCCGACTCCGAGATATAGGAGCTCATTTTTTCGAAAGTGGTAGCAGAGATCTCTCATTTCCAAGAGATCTTTGTCACTCAGGGAGAAAGCAAGGTTTTTGATTTCAAAGAAATGGAGGAGCTCTTTCATGTCCCATTAAGAGTGTGGAGCGCTCTCATTACGCATGAAAAGATTGATGACATGGATTCGTTACCATTCTTTAACTTTTCTCGAAGGGTCTTTTCTTTTCATATGCAGGATCTCTTTCATTTCCTATGAGAAGATAGAGGAGCTCTTTCATCTCAAAGATAGAAGAATGCATTCATAAACGGTATAAGAGCTCTCCCATGAACTATATCTCATCGTAGGGGGCATAGGAGTCTTAGGGGGCTCAGGATTCGCGTGCAGGGTGTAGGGTTTGTAGGGCTACGGGAATTTAATGGAGGGTGTATTTGTGTAGTCTGCCTATTACCGTAACAAACCCGTGACATAACCCAGAGCCATTACTTGCAAGACTGCTTCTTGAAAGCAAGAGCGCTAGTGTCTAACCATTGTACATTCCTACATGAGATACCCCACCACATCTTGAAAACACCTCTTTCTCCAAGGGTTTACCGGGGCATTAAGGAACAAGAACGTGATGGTTTCAGCACCAAAGTAAGGGAATAGCAAAGGGTTTCCAGGGAAAACTTCCCTGATGCAACCGGTCTCCATCTCACAAGAGGTCATGAGAGACCTCCTGTATCACATTGCAGGAATGAGAGAGTTCTCCACCATGTTTGTTTTCCGAAATAGCTTCTCTATCAATGAAGAGTTTTGAAGGTCGCCCTGGGCCATGCTCTGTCCGATAAATGAGACATGACATAACTCATTAGTCTCTATTAAGAGAGTCTCTATCTCTACGTGATCGAGTTTCGCTATCTCTGAATATACGTCGTCTGAAAGCTCCTCTGTGTCTTTGTAGCAAGTGAAGGAGCTCCTTGCCTCTTCTG